CCGGCGCTGCCGGTGTGGGCGGCCAAGCAGCGGCTGCTGTGCGCGCTGAGCGCCGGCCTGCCGGACGCGCTCAACTACGGCCTGTTCCAGCCCGCGGCCCGCGGCCGCGCCGCCAAGTTCCTGGACGAGGAGCGGCTGCTGCGCGAGTACCCGCTGGGAGCCGGCCCCGCGCCGCCCGGCCTCGAGGTGAGCACCGCGGTGATCCCAATGAGCGTGCCTGCCCGTTATCCTGGTTTATCCCGACTGATGTGTCTGAACTTAGCGGGATTAGTTCATCTGGATTGTTATCCTGGTTTATCCCAATTGATGTGTCTGAATTTAGCGGGATTAGTTCATCTGGATTGTCATCCTGGTTTATCCCAATTGATGTGTCTGAACTTAGTGGGATTAGTTCATCTGGATTGTCATCCTGGTTTATCATAAGTAATTTATCTGAACTTAGCGGGATTAGTTCATCTGGATTGTTATCCTGGTTTATCCTGACTGATGTGTCTGAACTTAGCGGGATTAGTTCATCTGGATTGTTATCCTCATTTATCCTAATTGATGTGTCTGAACTTAGCGGGATTAGTTCATCTGGATTGTTATCCTGGTTTATCCCAATTGATGTGTCTGAACTTAGCGGGATTAGTTCATCTGGATTGTCATCCTGGTTTATCCTAATTAATGTGTCTGAACTTAGCGGGATTAGTTCATCTGGATTGTTATCCTGGTTTATCCTAATTAATGTGTCTGAATTTAGCGGGATTAGTTTATCTGGATTGTTATCCTGGTTTATCCTGACTGACGTATCTGAATTTAGCGGGATTAGTTCATCTGGATTGTTATCCTGGTTTATCATAAGTAATTTATCTGAATTTAGCTGGATTAGTTTATCTGGATTGTTATCCTGGTTTATCATAAGTAACCTATCTGAATTTAGCGAGATTAAATTATCTGGATTGTTATCCTGGTTTATCCTGACTGATGTGTCTGAATTTAGCGGGATTAGTTTATCTGGATTGTTATCCTGGTTTATCCTGACTGATGTATATCAATTTAGCGGGATTAGTTCATCTGGATTGTCATCCTGGTTTATCCTAATTGATGTGTCTGAATTTAGCGGGATTAGTTCATCTGGATTGTTATCCTGGTTTATCCCAATTGATGTGTCTGAATTTAGCGGGATTAGTTTATCTGGATTGTTATCCTGGTTTATCCTGATTGATGTATATCAATTTAGCGGGATTAGTTCATCTGGATTGTTATCCTGGTTTATCATAAGTAATTTATCTGAATTTAGCGAGATTAAATTATCTGGATTGTTATCCTGGTTTATCATAAGTAACTTATCTGAATTTGACATAATTAAATGATCTGGATTGTCATCCTGATTTATCATAAGTAACTTATCTGAATTTGACATAATTAAATTATCTGGATTGTTATCCTGGTTTATCCTAATTAATGTGTCTGAACGTAGCGGGATTAGTTCATCTGGATTGTTATCCTGGTTTATCATAAGTAATTTATCTGAATTTAGCGGGATTAGTTTATCTGGATTGTTATCCTGATTTACCATAAGTAACTTATCTGAATTTGACATAATTAAATTATCTGGATTGTTATCCTGGTTTATCATAAGTAACTTATCTGAATTTGACATAATTAAATGATCTGGATTGTTATCCTGATTTACCATAAGTAACTTATCTGAATTTAACGTGATTAAATGATCTGGATTGTTATCCTGATTTATCGTAAGTAACTTATCTGAATTTAACGTAATTAATTTATCTGGATTGTTATCCTGATTTATCGGAATGAATTTATCTCAATTTTTATCGTAGTTTATCTGAATTAATTTATCTGAATTTTTATCTTAATTTATCGTAATTAATTTATCTAAATTTTTACCTTAATATATTGTAAGTAATTTATCTTAATTTTTATCTTAATTCTTCTTAATTAATTTATCTTAATTTTTATCTTAATTTATCGTAATTAATTTATCTTAATTTTTATCTTAATTTATCATAATTAATTTATCTGAGTTTTTATCTTGATTTATCGTAATTAAGTTATCTGAATTTTTATCTTAATTTATCGTAAGTAATTTATCTGAATTTTTATCTTAATTTATCTGAATTCTTATCTTAATTTATCACAATTAATTTATCTGAATTTTTATATTAATTTATCTGAATTATTATCTTAATTTAATTTATTTTAGTTTTGTTAATTTATCCATTTTATTTTATTTTTTTTATTTTGTTTTAATTTATTTTAATGTAATTTCGTTATTTTATTTTAATTTTTTTTTTTTTGTTTTATTTTTTTTTTTTTTTTTTTTTTTTTTTTTTTTTTTTTTTTTTTTTTTTTTTTTTTAAAATTGTGTTTTATTTTTGTATTTTGTTTT